ATATATATATATATAATCAGTACGTATGTTGAAGAAATATTTGTGAAATTATAAATGTATGGCTATCAGTGTGGCTATTTTTAATGCATGTGTCCAGCTAGTGAGCGAAATAGTCTGCAAAATGCTGGTGATTGCGCTGTCATAGAAGTCAGTCAGTACTTCCCCATAAGTTTAGCGACGAATTATAAAACGAAAGGGAAGCTAATTTGTCATAGGGGCTTCGTTTTTTCCAACACATTTGGTCTTAATCTTAAAGTGACATGCACTATGAAGGCCAAAGGGCTGAACAAAGGGAAAAAGAGAGCTGCTAAATAGAGTTCCAGACTTTCTTTTTACATCATACATATCTTGTATGTGTCGAAGTATATTAGATATTGTTATTGTGCATTTCACCTAAGCAGTATGCATGGCAACTTTTAGACTAATTTGGATGACAAATTAAAAGCTGTAGAGTGTTTTTTTTTTTTAAATTGACTTCAACTAAGGTCGGCCATCTTTAACTGTTTTTAAATGGTTTATTGTTCCAGGCTTTAGGATGGGGCATTCTGTTGATCTTAATTATTCTGGCATTTCTGGCTCGCTCGCTTAAGCCTTGCTTTGACCAAACTGCCTTTCTACAAACACGCTACTGGAGCAACTACATTGATATCGAGCAAAAGATCTTTGATGAGACATGCTGCGAACATGCACGGGACTTTGCCCACAAATGTATCCTCCATTTCTTTCAAAGCATGCACAATGAAATGAAGGTAGCCAATTTTACCAAGAAGTCAGAGGATGAAGAAGACCACATCCATGGAATTACTGACAAGGAGCAGGTTAACAAACTGTTGAAATATTGGTACCAGAGTAAACCTCCACTTTCTATTAACTACCCAACTCAGCGACAACACATTAAAGGGAAAAGCAACGGCTGCTGCTTGGAAGATCATAAACAGACAGATGTGTAAATTCAGCTGATAATTTGTGTATTTGCACCATTATATCTATATTTCATAAAGTAAAGTAGTGGAGTAACCTGTGACAAACAGAAATAATCTTCCATTGTTCACTGATCCACCTTAACAGCTAAAATTAAATTAGCTATTGTTGTATAAATGCGCATACCAACTGATTTTGCTCTAATGTGTATTTCTTGCTTTTATTAGGCATGTAAGAATACAATTAAAAAAATGGAATAACAAAATTGAAATCAGAGCTGGCTGACCCTGCTTTTCGAGCACTGTAATTCAGTTGTGACTTGTAGAGTCATCAGTGAATCCCAAGTTGATTGCTTTGGCTGTTTCAATATTGTGTGTGCATTATTTTTGGAGACTTCCATATCGCACGGATGTTTTGGCACCAGAATCTTCAGCACAAAAGCATGTATACCATGCTTTGCATATGAGATACTTTGACTTGGATTTACCACAGCTCCAAAAAGAATATATACTTGGGGGTTTATTTACTTTCTGGTACATTTGCCAGCACATTCAGCAGGTAACATCCCCAATCAATAAAGTGAAACACATATTTCTAAAAATTATTAGGTACAAAAAAATGCCTCTAGTCAGGTGTACCAAATGAGTAGATTACTGTTCTGTACTGTACAATTCATAATTTTCTTTATACTGGATACTACAAATAGCACTGTGCTTCTGGCCCACTGCGACTCACACACACAGAAGCTTTTCACAGAATGCCTTGTAGTTTGTAAATTGGTTCACAGAACACAAGTTGACCTGTGAATGGCCAAGGGGTGGAGGGGGTGGATAAATGATACTAGGGCTTCTGTATATGAGAGCCAAAGCTCTTAAAGCTGCAGCAAGCTGGAAGTAAAGCGCAAGCAGTAGTAATGAACGTAAAGGAAATTATGAACTGTACAGAAAAGCGATCTGCTTTATTAGAAAACCTGGCTAGAGGGTTTCATCTGTTCTTCAGGGGGAAAATGTGGTTACCGTAACATTTGTCCTATTTACAACAGTGCAAATGTTATGCTCCCATTCCTTGCATATTCACTGAACAGATGATGGATCATTGCAATTGATAATGAAAATGCAATGATTCCCTACACAGAATGCTGGACATGGGGGCAAAGAGTGTTTAAGTCATTGCCATGTTGATACCAGCCCACATGCCCTTCAGCATGGGGTGGGTGGCATTGGAGAGGGATTTAAAAAAAAGGATTTAAAAAAAACCCTGCATACAGGTTTTTAAATAAATTAGATATAAATAATTTAACTTTTACAATCTGGCAATTTTCTGATCTGTCCCTCACCAGGTCTTCTCCGCTGACTGGGTCCCAAAATGGAGGGCAAAGCGGGGTCAGAACCCAGGATGATCCAGGCAGTGTTTCAAAAGGTGCAAGGCTTACTACTGTGACATTACTGATCCTAAGCCTATACTTGGCATTAGTCTGGCAATGAAGACTGAGAATAATATCTTAAAACAGTTTAGTCACCGACTTTGCAAAAAAAATAAAATAAAAAGGAGTGGAACACTGGGTCATCATTTAATTGAAACTTGTACTGATAGATATTGCCATTGTTGACTTTGTACTAAAATACAAAGTAACTACTGTAGTTTTCTGGTTGGCATTCGCCCTTTTACTACCACTGCCGTAACGGGAACCGCAATTTATGGCCACATTATCAGGCTTGAGTTTGTTTACATTTTTAATGCAGACTCACTGCTGTTTAGTAGAAGCATTTTGGAGTGAGAGGAATAGTACTAGGACCTGATAAACTGTAAGGGTTTAAAGCATCACTATGGGCAATTATGGGGTATTCTAGTTTATCGCCACTTTGCAGGTGCTTGCACTTTTGAATCTGTGACATATTTGTTTATTTATCCATTTAATTGACTTGGCCTCTTTAATTTTTTTAAACAAACAGAAAGCCAGTCAATTAAAATTAATTGCCATCTTTCATTTTAAGGCAAAACTGGCATATTTTAGAAAAAACAGGTAACACATATTTGTAATGTGTCAGTTTACATTCCTACCCTACCAGATCCTGTTGTGTTGACAATCTGCATTAACGTGAACCCAGTCATTTAAAACATGTAAAAGTAAATGTTCTGCCTTAGGCGCCTTTCATACAGACATTCCGATCAGGGCTTTCGGTCAGTTTTTCGAGCGGATCTGATCAGAAGTTCAGTGTTAGTCCACGGGCAGACGGATCCAGTGGCGTAACCAGAGTTATGGGCGCCCGGGGCAGAACATTTTTTTTCGCCCCCCCATATTATATAAACATCCACTAGACCTGTACCTCCCACCCCCACACATATATATCAGCTAAGGAACTACAAGTCCAAGCATGCCATCATTGTCCCTGTACACCCCCCACACACACACATATCACCCAGGGAACGGCAATATCTGGTTGTTGTACAGGGGCAATGAGGGCATGCTGGGACTTGTAGTTCCCTAGCTGATATCTTATAAAGTT